ACCACTACCACTACCACTACCACTACCACTACCAGTACCAGTACCACTACCACTACCACTACCACTACCACTACTACTACTACTACTACTACTACTACTACTACTACTACTTCTAGTACCACCACCACCACCACTACCACCACTACCACCACTACTACCACCACCACCACCACCACCACCAGCACCACGACCAGCAAAACGACGACGACGACTCTCACTACTACAGCTGCTAATAGCGCGACGGCGACGCCGAGTGTATTGTGACTGTCATAGCGTATGACTATCCCAACATGACAACGACAGTCTTGAATTAAGCACGGCGAATAATACTACTAGTAGCCCAAAGCACCTTGCCACCAGGCTACTTGAGGCAGAGATCCGAGCTCAGCTGGTCATCGCAGTTGGAACGTCGCTGTGTGACACGCCCTCCACAGCCGACTCCGGGCATAGTTCTACAGGGTGTTTCAGAGTTTAGGCTGTTTGGGCTTTAGGTTGCTGTATGCGTACCAGGGTCAGACAGCTGGTGTTTAGCTCTACGCCATTCACAAGCATGCTTCTAGCAGTCGACACAGGCTTGCTTTCAAGTTGTGAGCTTCCCGGCACCCCTCGCCCAAGGTCCACAGCAGAGGGAGTGATCTTCTGGTTGGAAATGTGCCCTGATCCCTCTTTCAGAACAAGATATACGATGCGCTTAGCATTTCGTAGTGTCCAAACTGTACAAGCCATAAGCCCTAACTCTATTAAATTAAAGCCACACTCCGTAAGACTCTCAACCCTCAAATGGCCCCCCTTCTCCCTCGTCCTCGAGTAGGAACCGCTTAACGAAGCTTCAGTCTTTACCGGGGTACTTTTCTGGCAGGACAACCCTCACTTAAAAAGATACTGCGGTAGAACCCAAACCGCGAACCTCTGTGAACCCTAAACTCGCAAGCTCCCGCCAAACCCCTAAAGCATCCCAAACCCTTAAGCTGTAAACCCCGTAGTGCCCTCATAGTAGCTTACCTTTCCCTAACCCCCTAATGGGCCCCAGGTGCCTACTATATAGGGTACTAGAGCCCCGAGGGCCCTATATAGTAGGTACCTGGAGGGTTAGGGTTTTATGTGATTGAGTTCTTAAAGTCAACGAACCCTAAACCTTAAAGAACATCTTAGCACAACATGTGTTCCCAGCGCCCAGCCGAGGATAGGCTGGTCGTCACGGCAGCTGCAAGGGCAGCGGAAACCCCGGCAACAGCTCTAGGCTCGCGGGTTGTGTAAAACCTAAGCACTAAACCAAGATAGGGTTCCTCCAACCGCCGGAGAGTTGCTCCGATTTCAGGTTGAGGGATCAATTCGGTTGAGGGTTGTATATGAGGTTCAAAAGATAAGGGGCTTGTCGGGTTCTAGATAAGGGTTCTGTAAGTGCTCCGGTTACTATGAGGAGTACTGTAAGGATACCACTAAGAGGCTGGGCTTGAGGTTTAGGGTTTATCTTTTTAGGGTGCATGGTGTAGGACTTGCTTTCTCCAGGGTATAGGGCTTAATCTTGCTGTCTATGACTCGTAAGGGTTTGGGTTTCCGGCTCGGTGCTAGGACTTGGGATGCCGGATATCGGGCACTACAATTCAATACGGGAGTTTCCGAAAATGAGGGGTACCCTATTTTGGGGTCCTTATATTAAGGATCCTATTATTTAGGGTGCTATATTAGGGATATGGAGGTTTCCGAAAAACAGGGGACCCTAATATAGTACACTAAATAATAGGATCCTTGTTATAAGGACCCCAAAATAAGGTACCCCCTGTTTTTGGAAAGCCCGATATGAGGACCCAGTATTACAAGTCTTGAACATGACTTAGCAATCGTATACCCGTTTTACCTCGATTGCACCCGCAGGTCGAAGTACAGAAAGGGTCGTCGGCCCCTTCCTGTGGCATTTTGGAATTTGGTGGCCGTCTTGCACCGCATCTGGAATTCAAGCTGAGCGATGCCCAGAGAGCCCAATACCCCTAAAGCAAGGAATATATCTTAAATTATAAGGGGCTTCATATTATGATTTAAGCTATATTCCTTAATTAAGGGATATTGGGCTCTCTGGGTGATCGGCTACGTGCTCGAGCATGGCTGCGCCCGTGCAGATCTGATCACCCAAAAGACACCAACCTCATTGAAGAAAGCCTTTGCTACTGCAAGAGTGGACAGAACCCACCGTGCCCCTAAACCCTAAAACCCTAAAACCCTAAAACCCTAAACCCTAAACCCTAGACCCTCAACCCTAAACCATAAACCCTAACACGAACTCAAGAGGATCGTTGGCCCGGAGAACCCAGCATGTTGCTTCAGGATCGAGACTTGACAATGTAGCAGTTACTGTACTTGGAGGTTCATGCGCAGTCATAAGTGGAATCAAAAGTCCTTGAATCTGGTCTATAACTATAGTAGTCCGACGTGTAACCCTACCGTTCTCTACCCAAGAACCTCGAAGTAGACGATCGAAAATCGGTGGTAGCAGTTGCATCTCATGTTTTTTTTGTTTGGTGGCGCTTGATCGTTTATTTAGGGTAGCGAGCGGCATGGGGAGGCCGCGTGCTTCTACATAGCAACGGCCTTCATCAGGATTCTATTTGGGTACGATGACCAGGGGCCTAAACCACAAATCTTAGGCCCTAAGCCGCACATCTCTTAAAGCTAAATTCTCAAGAGGTCCCTTCACCCTAAACCCTATAAGCCCTCATGCCCCTCAGGAAAAATGAGGACAAGAAGCTGAAGACCGCCTACATGTCCGGACAGAGAACGGCGCGATTCAACATGCCCCTTGACTTGCAAGCTCCGGGTGCAGAATTTTCGAGATTAGGGAAGTGAAACCCTAAACCCTAAACCCTAAACCCTAAACGGTTGGGGGAGGGGAGGGGATAGGGGCTGGAGGGGAAGGGGGAAGCAGGAACCGGGTTGGCGGCTGTAGACATGGGGGCTTCACAAGCTGTCATGAGCTTTTCAATATAGAACCGAAGCCTACAGACCGCAGACAGGAAGATGGAGGATAGTACGAGCCCTGAACCCAAAAAGCCCTGGACCCTAAACCCTAAACCCTAACCCTAAAATATGTAGAGTGGCAGGAGCTTCGGGATGGACTGACACGGGACGTGTATGTTGCAGCCAACGATTGTAATAAGGGAACCACCCCCCAAAACAAAAATAGTATTGGTAATTATTTAGGCCCCTAAGCCTTGCATCTGCCAAGCACGAGGTCTGGAGGCTGGAACGATCGTTCTGACCTAAAGAGGTGTAGGGTTCATGGTTGTCGCCTTTTTAGGTCTAACATAGCCTAAGCCTTAAATCCTAATCCCTCAACCCTAAACCGTAAACCCTAAACCAAGCCCTAAACCTTTTGTACAGAAGGTGTAAGGTCTCCTGGATTGCAGTTTGGGGGGGTCTTTGCAGCTTCGCGATCCCTACACAGCACACCGCATCATACACCTTGAATAGTAGACTATACTGTATAGAAACTCCGAGGCATGGTGCCCCAAGTCGAAGAACTCCACTTGTGTCTATGATGTTTCGTGTCGTAGTCCTGCACCCGCAATCGCGAGCTAGAGCCGGCAAGCCTCGCATACTCTCCGTCGCTGCCTATCCAGGTTCATCAACGGCAAGAAGGACGGAACGGCCACGCTGATATCCGTTCGTGAAGCCTTGAAACCTTTGAGAACATGATTACTTTGAGCACCCCTACAACTACCACCCTAAACCCTAAGCCCTAAACCCTAAACCCTAAACCCCTACAACTAGCACCCCAAGACCCAGTTGCTGAGGCTCATAGAGTTGACTAACACCACTGAGGCCTCAGGGCCTACGTCTTTACTGTAGGATTAGGCGTCACATTCATGTTCGTCTAAGACCATACCTATAGTCTCCAATGTAGTTCCTTTTAATTTGGTTTAACCAATTATATATTAAGATTCCTAAAAGGTAACCTCAAAAAGGAACTACAATGGAGACTACAGGTAATACCTAAACCCCAAAAAGTCATAAAGATGGACTTAATTCTGCATGCTGAACATTATTGTACAAGGCCCAAGGATTCCTACACAGAGTCTTTTTCTGCGAGTTCAATGGGTCTTAGCCCCTAAACCCTAAGCCCTAACGATTGGGATTTAATGGTGCAGGGTTTTAGGGTTTAGGGTATAGAGTTTTAGATTCTAGGGTTTTAGGGTTTAGGGTATAGGGTTTGGGGCTTGCAGCAGCCCCTGTTTGGAGTCTAGTACGCGGGTCAAAACCCTCCAAGGGCCTTAATAATTACCTATACTATTTTTGAGGGCTCCTTATTACGCTTAAACTATAAAGGACCCCCAGACCCTGTTCTGAATATTAAGGCCCTTACATTCTGTGAGGGAGATTCCGAAGCTCAAGAGAGGAAGGGCCAGTGTTGAGGGATCTTGGGTCTCCGGGTTGGGGTTGTTTAGAATTTAGGGTTTCAGGGTTTAGGGTTTAGGGTTTAGGCGTTTAGGGTTTCAGGGTTTAGGGTTTAGGGTTTAGGACTGCATCTGGGGTTTAGGGTTTGGGATTTACTCGCCGCGAACCCAGTGACCCTCCGACAGAATGTCTATCCCCGAGTTCACCCGAAGCTGTGGGCCCGGCCCTTAAACCCTTCACCCGGACAAGAAGCTCACGAAAGTGCAAGAAAAGGGGCCTAAGTAATTACGCATACTTGTTTCTAGGCTTCCTTTTTATCAGTATAGTATAATATACCCTATAAAACCTTGTTCTAATGATCATGTCCCTTACATTCTATGTATATTATAGTATAATATACCCTGTAAGAACCCTGTTCTAATTATTACGTCCTCTACATTCTGTATATTATAGTCTAAGATACCCTATACCTTTAAAATCCTGTTCTAATTCTTATAGCCCCTACATTCTATATATTATAGTATAAGATACCCTATAAAACCCTGTCCTAATTATTATGGCCCCTACATTCTAGATATTATAGTATAAGATACCCTCTAAAACCCTGTTCTAATTCTTAGGGCCCC